ATTTACATTGAAAAAATTGAACTTTTGAAGTTTGAAAAATAAAATAAAAAACTGAAGGCGAAAATTATGAAATTAAAAAATAAGAGTACAAAAAAAAACAAGAGTTCTAAGGATATTATTAGTATTAGTTACCGTGTTGAGTTTGATATTCTTCTAGGGCTCTCCTGGAGATGATGAAAAGAAGATGACCCAAGGGCAAGACTTTAAGATTTTAGGTTGATGCATATTGTAATGCTATTGATATTGTTATACTTTCATGTACTTGGTTGCCAATGATGTGTAGGTTGTTCAAGTTGTAATGTCATGACACCAATTTGTCAATGATGTGTTGGTTGTTCAAGTTGTAATGTCATAACACCAATTTAATTAATCTATAAATTGACATTACATGTTAGTATCACAACCATTTTCACGTCTTATCACATTTTTTAACACTACCTTCTAGTTGTGGAATATAAATTATTCACACAAAGTAGCACAAAGATGCTTGATAAAATGTAACACGAAAACATGTGCACACAAAATCTTACAAATTATTCACACAAAGTAGAAAGATGCTTGACAAAATGTAACACAAAAAAAATGTGCACACAAAATCTTCACACAAAGTAGCACAATTCCTTTGCAAAACCTATCACATAAAATGTTATACACACAAATTGCACATATCATTCAGCTCATAACAAAACAAATTCTTTACAAAATCAAAATTCCAATTATCCATAATAAACCATTACAAAACCCAATATCAGCCTAATTTAAAAGACCCACATTTCCTTTTCCTTTGCCATGACCCTCGTGGTTAATTACCACAAACATTTTGCCCTTATCAACTACAACCTTCTCATGAGTTAATGTAATGCTGCTTCCCACACAAAACACATGTCTCTTTCTTGTAAATGTAGCATACCCTCTTATTTAAACTCCATGTGTGGCTCTTGTAGCCTGTACGATGTGTCCTCTGGGTAACTGATCATACATGGATGGTCTAGGAGTTGATCTTTGCACTATTGGAATGAAAAGTGTTGGGACTATTGCGTAGGAACTTTTCCAATCACAGTACATTCATCTTCATGATTTGACAGTGGTGGAAACAAAGTTGGATTCACACTGTTTGTTTAGTTTTTGGATGAACTGTTGGGGTTCTATGAGGAACGTCACATTTATGCAAGTCACAAATCTAGTCTACAATGCCTAAAACTCAATGGATAAAGTTGGGTTTGAACACTCACGGCTTAAAACTTGCAGACTCTCATTTTTCTAATGTCCGTTAATAGAGATCGTTTAAACCCTGTTGGGTTGTTGGTCAGGTTGCGAATGTCGTGTGTGGCTTTGGGTAGCGTGGCGTGTGGAGTGCGGGCCGCAACTAGCTGCTCGAAAATGGGGTCTAGGTTGCGTTCTGCGTCTGTCGCATCGAGGCATCAGTTCTGGGGTCAGTGCTCAGCTGCAGTTGTGCACGAAAGATGGGCGGTCGTCGACGGGAGTCTCGTGTTACCTTGGTACTTTTGTTGTATGACCTTTACACACTTTGTTTGTTTTGGTGGGCAACTCAAAAAGTTCTCACTCAATTGGTGATTAAAAATTCCAAGAGAATGTGTGCATCTATAGGCTACAACAAGGACCCTAAAGAGGTGTCTAATATGTGCTTCTCAAATATGAGTCCAACTGTGAGTCAAGCCACTATGCTCATACTTGAACGATATATCAGTCCACTAAAGAAATATCTCTGATCTCCTCATTTGGCGCTCAAATTACATTTGAGGCTCTCATAATAATTACTCTATTTATCTCTCCATGTTCAAAATAAAAAGTCCGCCAATTAGTTAATTACTAATAATATATTATGTCGAAACTTAATCCACCTACAGGGTTTAGCATAATAATCCTTCTTGAGTTTATCTCGAGGACATCATATGACCTATCATACGGTAACTGTAAATAATCGAACAATAAACCATACACACAACATTACTACCCAGAACACATCAGACTATTGACTCGGCAGAATGACTCTCATTTTTTATTGAATCAAAGTATCAACTACTGTATATAATGTCTGTTTATATCTTACGGGTTAAGAGTACGCAGTAATTAACCGAAGACTAGTTTGTTTATTTAGTGCAAAACAAAATTAATTTCTCTGAGATCCGTTCAATACACATGTGAATTGGTGCAACCAATCAATCAAGACAGACTGTATGTTAACACTACAACCGTTAACTATGGGTTGTTCATTTCTGTCTAGGTTGTGAACTATATGTTTTATGTTTACAAGTAACCAATAGGGGATTTTTTGTTCACCCGTAATGAACCAAAATATCCAAATGTAAAACGTCAGAGCATAAAACAATTTAATTAAACACAATTCCCATTCAAAAGAAAAATAGTGTTTATTAAGTAAAATATCAAGCTTTAAGTATACACACTAATATGGACCACATTCTCTTCCACCTGAAATTAAAACACAAATCAAAGTAATTTTGTAATTGTACACACAAGTCAGTAACTTTAAATATATTTAAACGGATTACCTGCATCTTTTGGTGGAGGTTGGTTAGTGGTAGAAGAACATGTGGCTGCATTATGCTAAGTTCCACCACATTTGTTGCAATTTAATGTTATATGGTTCCTCTTCAACTTTTAGGAGCTAAAGTTCTTTTTTTTTCTATTTTTTTTAATTGACTCATCACTCTCCCTTCTTCATGCCTTTAAGGTCTCCTTGCACCCCTTCCAAAATTTTGTGGCGATGGTGGTATGAAATTATTCTCCTCCAAAAGCTCAGTGCCAGTAATTGGATACAAAATGTTCCCATAAGCAACCATATACTTAGACACTCTGTAGCATTCATCTGCATAGTCCACAACATTGCCTCTCTTGAAATAGATGACATCTAAAGCATGGCTACAAATAACTCCAGACAACCCCTAGGACCTACATGTTAGTGTGTATGCTGAAAATTTGGCCTTTTGTTACGGACACTGTTTCTGTTTAAGTGAGAATCATATTTAACTAAACGTTTCTATGTATGTTGTTTTACATTTAGATATATATAGTTCATCACGAATAAACAGTAGATAATATTATCAGTTACTTGTGAAACATCAAGACTAGTTCACAACCTAAATAGAATTGAACAAACTATCGTGAAAGGTTGTAGTGTAATTTGGAGCGGTTGATCTTGACTGATGAATTACACTAGTACATTTAAGAGTGTATTGAACGGATCTGGAGAGGATAAATTTATTTTATGTTGACCAAGAAAATAAACTAGACCACGATAATTACAGTGAGAGTGTACTGTAAAAACTCGGCTTCCAATTTCTGACAATACTATTTTGAATGAGATTCATGTTTTAGCCAAGTGAATGTTTGCAGATTATCTATTTATGAATATGTATCCTTTATTTTACATTGTAGATTATATAGTTCTATTTGTGTCAAACAAAAAGATCATATTATCAGTTCCTTGTAAAATATAAATATTTGTTCACAGCCCAAACAGAATTGAACTAATTGTCGTGAAAAGACGTAGTGTGATTTTTGAGTTACTTGACCTTTGACTAGCATAATACAATAGCACATCTTGTATCTTTGACTAACTATATACCATAGTACAAATGACACCAATTTGTCCTTGAACTGGATACAAGTCGGTGACATCACGAATTGCCTTCCAACCTGAGCTCCAAAGACCTTCAAAGTACGTCGGGAGGGGGTCCCAGCAGAAAAACCCCCGACTTCAAGTTAGGTATCACTTCGTGAATCGTATATTAATATGTTGTAAAGTGTACTATGGATCTTTGTTGTAAAGAAACCCATTAACCTCTTGTTATAGAGTGGTTCTCAGCTTACCCATGTTATGTTACTACTAGGGAAGAATCTCTCCATATCT